AGTACAGTGGCGTGATCTCTGCTCACTGCAACCTCTGCCACCCGGGTTCAAGCAATTCTCCTGTGTCACCCTCCTGAGTAACTGGGACTACTGGCGTAAGCCACCATGCCTGGCTAATTTTTGTATTTTTAGTAGAGACGGGGTTTCACCATGTGGGCCAGACTAGTCTCAAACTCCTGACCTCAGGTGATCTGCCTACCTCAGCTTTCTAAAGTGCTGGGATTAGAGGTGTGAGCCACCGCACCTGGCCAGCTTTACTCTTTTTTTTTTTTTTTGAGACAGAGTTTCTCTCTTGTTGTCCAGGCTGGAGTGCAATGGCGCGATCGCTGCTCGCTGCAACCTCTGCCTCCTGGGTTCAAGCAATTCTCCTGCCTCAGCCTCCCAAGTAGCTGGGATTACAGGCGTGTACCACCACACTCAGCTAATTTTATAGTTTTTTAGTAGAGACGGGGTTTCACCATGTTGGTCAGGCTGGTCTCGAACTCCTGACAGCTTTACTCATTTTTATAGCTAATATTCCACTGTATGGATAGACCACATTCTGTTTATCCATTCATCAATGGATGGATACTTGATTTATTTCCACTTTTTGGCTGTTATGAATAATGCTGCCATGAACATTGGTGTACACTTTTTTCTGAGTCAGGGTCTTGCTCTGTTGCCCAGGCTGGAGTGCAGTGGCTCAGTCATCACTGACTGCAGCTTTGACTTCCAAGCCTCAAGCAATCGTCCTGCCTCAATCTCCTGAGTAGCTGGAACTTTAGATGAGCACTAACAGGCTAGCTGATTTTTAAATTTTTTATAGAGACAGGGTCTCGCCCTGCTGCCCAGACTGGTCTCAAACTCCTGGCCTCAAGCAAAACTCACCCCCCTTATCCTCCCAAAGTGCTTAGATTACAGTTATGAGCTACTGTGCCTGGCCTCAGTCCTTATTTTTGATGCATTTCCGTGTAAATTGCAGATATGTGTACACTCCCCTTCCATACTAAGGCATGCATGACATTAGCTAGAATTCAGTATTTGTTTACAGATTTTTTTTAAATTATGAGGTATATATAATAATTTTTTTTTTTTTTTTTTGGAGACAGGGCCTTACTCTGTCACCCAGGCTGGCGTGCAGTGGTATGTGTGATCACGGCTCACTGCAGCCTCAACAACCTCCCAGGCTGAGGCTTTCCTCCAGCCTCAGCCTCCCTGGTAGCTGCGACTAGAGGCACATGCCACCATGCCCAGCTAATTTTTGTATTTTTTTGTAGAGATAGGGTTTCGCCTTGTTGCCGGTTTCACCACATTGCCCAGGCTGGTCTCAAACTCCTGGGCTCAAGAGATCTGCCTGACTCAGCCTCCCAAAGTATCAGGATTATGGGCATGAGCCACTGTGCCCAGCTGCAGTGCGCAAAATCTTAAGGGTACATCTGACAGATGCGCATGCCTGTGTGACTCAAGCTCCATCGAGATCGGAATAAGTTTTTGTATTCCTTTCTTTTAACTATTTTTCTTTGGCCCGTTTTTGAGCAGATCTTAATATGGTTGTGTATCTGAATATGGCTGTATATTCTACTTCAGGAAGAATTCAAATCCCATCAAGATCTGAATATGTTTTTTTTTGTTTTGTTTTGAGACAAAGTCTTACTCTGTCACCCAGGCTGGAGTGCAGTGGCCCAATCTCGGCTCACTGCAGCCTCTGCCACCCTGGTTCAAGCAATTCTCCTGCCTCAGCCTCCCGAGTAGTTGGGATTACAGGCTCCTGCCACGTGCCCAGCTAATTTTTTTTTTTTTTTGAGACGGAGTCTTGCTCTGTTGCCCAGGCTGGAGTGCAGTGGCTCAATCTTGGCTCACTGCAAGCTCCACATCCCGGGTTCACGCCATTCTCCTGCCTCAGCCTCCCAAGTAGCTGGGACTACAGGCACCTGCCACCATGCCTGGCTAAGTTTTTGTATTTTTAGTAGAGACGGGGTTTCACTGTGTTAACCAGAACAGTCTCGATCTCCGGACTTCGTGATCTTCCCGCCTCCGCCTCCCAAAGTGCTGGAATTACAGTTGTGAGCCACTGCGCCCGGCCTAATTTTTTTTATTTTTAGTAGAGACGGGGTTTCACCATCTTGGCTAGGCTGGTCTTGAACTCATGACCTTGAGATCCACCCACCTCAGCCTCCCAAAGTGCTGGGATTACAGCCACTGAACCCAGCCTGAATATGGTTTTGTATTCTACTTTTTTTACTTTATTACATCATAAATATTTTTACCTTTATTTTTTTGAAACCAAGTTTTGCTCTTGTTGCCCAGGCTGGAGTGCAATGGCACGATCTTGGCTCACCGCAACCTCTGCGCTTCCCAGGTTCAAGCAATTCTCCTGCCTCAGTCTCTTGAGTAGCTGGGATTACAGGCATGTGCCACCATGCCTGGCTAATTTTGTATTTTTAGTAGAGACAGTGGTTTCTCCATGTTGGTTAGGGTGTTCTCAAACTCCCGACCTCAGGTGATCCACCCGCCTTGGTCTCAAAGTGCTGGGATTACAGATGTGAGCCACTGCGCCGGCCCTTTTTTTTTTTTGAGAGGGAGTCTCACTTTGTCACCCAGGTCACCCAGGCTGGAGTGCAGTGGCGTGATCTGGGCTCACTGCAAGCTCCACCTCCTGGGTTCAAGTGATTCTCCTGCCTCAGCCTTGAGTAGCTATGACTACAGGCGCCCGCCACCACACCTGGCTAAGTTTTTGTATTTTTAGCAGAGACGGGGTTTCACTGTATTAGCCAGGATGGTCTCGATCTCCTGACCTTGTTATCCACCCGCCCTGGCCTCCCAAAGTGCTGTGATTACAGGCGTGACCCACCGTGCCTGGCCTTTTTTTTTTTTTTTCCTGATACAGATTCTCACTCTGTCATCCAGGCTGCAGTGCCATGGCGCAATCTCAGCTCACTGCAACCTCCGCCTCCTGGATTCCAGCAATTGCCTCAGCCTCCTGAGTAGCAGGGAGTATGGGCGTGTGCCACCACACCCAGCTAATTTTTGTATTTTTTGATAGAGGTGGGGTTTCACCAAGCCAAGATCGTACCACTGCACTTCAGCCTGGGCGATAGAGTGAGACTTCATCTTAAAAAAATAAATAAAATAAAATAAAATAAAAATAATTGAATGAGAATCATCGCTGAGAAGTTTCCCTGGATGTTCCTTGCTGTGGTGGAGCACTCCCTTCAGGGTTTCGCCCTTCAGTGGGACTTTCAGGCAGGTTTGACCTGGGAGGTGTTTTTGACTCTTTATAGGTGCCCAGGGTGGCTCCGTGGCCCGCACGCTCCTGGAAGATGGAACATTCAAGGTTCGAGTGGTGACCCGAAACCCTGGGAAGAAGGCAGCAAAGGAGCTGAGGCTGCAAGGTGCAGAAGTAGTGAAGGGAGACCAAGATGACCAGGTCAGCATGGAGCTGGCCTTGAATGGGGCTTACGCCACCTTCATTGTGACCAATTACTGGGAGAGCTGCAGCCAGGAGAAGGAGGTCAAGCAGGTGAGGGCAAGCAGGAGCTGCAGGGAGGCTGGGCCAGGCTAGGAGCAGAGCGCCTGGGAGGAGCTCCAACTCGCAGGGAGGGCTGACCACTGCAGGCCTTTCCCTGTCCTTCATGCCTCTGCCTGCTCTAGGCTGTGAAGCAGGTGGACGCTGTTGCGTCCAATGACTTTTTTTTTTTTTTGAGACAGTCTCAGTCTCACTGACCAACCACACCTGGTCTGTTTGTTTGTTTTTTAATGAAAAATGTTAGAAGTTGCTTTTCTAAAAAAAGAATTTACACTTTTATTTTAGATTCGGGGGTACATGCACAGGTTTGTTACATTGGTATATTGAGTGATGCTGGGGTCTGGGGTGTGACCGGACCTGTCACCCAGGTAGTGGGCACAGTACCCAGTAGGTAGGTTTTCAACCCTTGCCTCCTTCCCTCCCATGGTCCCCAGTGTCTGTTGTTGACTTCATGTCCACGTGTACCCATCCAAACTTATTAGCC